AATTTTTTTAAAAAGCAAATGCTAATTGTTTTTACATGTAATTGGGGGAAAATAAAATATTAAAGGAAAAAAATACAAGTATGGTTCAGTAGGGGTTTGTGGAGAACAGTCTATGTTGGAAAAATGTCCTTGATATGAAAAGCAAAGGGCATCAATAAAACTTAAAAAAAAAAAAAGATGGAGAGGGTCATTTGTGCTACTTCTCAGACAGGGGAAACAGGCCTAAACAGAGTCTAAGAGGAAGAATGTAGTATAGCTATTGACCTATAAAGAAGGGTAATGTATGTGTTTTCCATTCCCTCTGCCGGTGGGACAGGAATGAGACAAATCTAAGGAGGATAAGGAGGACAAACCCCTAGCTGTCACCAGGGGGACAAGGGAGGGAAGAACCAAGTAAGCCACAAAACCACTATCTTGTTTCTTTATAAGCTCCAGGGAAACTGGGGAGGCTTCGTGGTGCCCTTGATGTCCCTTGTCCCCAGGAATCTTCCTGATTTGGGGAGCAGCTTAGGAGCCCCTTCCTTCACTGGCTCCAGGTATTGCATACACTGATGCATGTTTTACTCTGATTTTTTTTTTTATCCTACTTGGAACCTGAGCTTTTTGAGCACAGAATTTAAATGTATGGATTGTGTATAATGACATGCCAGTGAAAGCTGCATGACCTAGGGGACAGGAAGCCTACCCAAGAGTCAGGAAGACCTCGGTTTATTTCCTACCTCTTTCACATACTGACATTGTCTGTGTGACACTGGGCAAGTCATTTAACCTCTTGGGGCCCAGGTAAATCTCTAAGACTATGAAGTTACAGAACAGTTGCAGATCCGTGTTGATAGAGGGAATTACTTCACAGGAGTTCTCTACGCCAATAAAAATCACAGGTTCACATGGAAAAATAACATCCCCAAAACATGCAGGCAACATTTCATTCTACTAGTTAAAATCTGACTGCTTTAGGCAGATGCCTGCCTTTTCCCCATCTCTACCCTCAGACTTAGACCTCTGATTCTCACTTCCAATAAGCCATAGTCATTGGGTTTTAGGGGAGCTTTACTCCTCAGGTTCCACACTGCTACTGCCTTAGGAAAAGTGTGCGTGTGGTAGGGGATCATAGCATGTTAGAGGTGGAAGGGTCTTAGGGATCCTTTAGTCTAGCCCCTTTGTGGAAACAGAGGCTCAGAGAGGGTCAGGTGTCTTGTCCAAGGTCACAAAACAAGTTAATGGCAGAGCCAGGGCCCAGGTCTTTTGGCTCTTGATTCAGTATTCTTTATATCCTACCTTGCTACTTTCTTTAATGAAGTTGCATTGACTGGGACCTGAGCCCAGATCCCTTTGTAAGAGACAGGCATTCTGCCTGCTGCTGAATCAAATTCGGAGAGGAGCTTGTAGCATCCAGACTGGGGTTTAGGGTTGGGACTGTCCTGAAAGCCTCCCTCCCTCCCAGCACTCATAGGCAGATTGTATTTGGAGGAGAAAAGGAGGGAAACATTGAGCACCTGTTCAGCAAACCTTGGGGAGAAAGGGGACAGGATGGATATCTCCCCCACACCTCTGTTTCAGGATCTGGAGTCTAATGAGCCCAAGAACCTCAGTTCTATCTATCAAACTAGACAGATTTTGTTTGTTGCTAATAATATTATTATTGTGACCACCCAGCTCACTTGCTTCTCTCCCTTCTACCGACTGGAGTCATAGGGCAGAATAATAAGGTAGAGACAGGGGGCTGTCTAGCACTCCCACCCCCACCCCCAGCAGTGGTTCCTCCCATCCCTGCCCCACACCCCTCTGCTTGCTGTGCCTGGCCAAGGGCCTGGCGCATCTGGGACTCTGCTGCCTGGCCAGGATGCCAGCTCGCCCACTCCTGAACCTTCTCTAGCTGGTGGTTCCCACAGTGCAGGAATCCAGCTGTTCTCTGCCAACACAGCTGGGCTCAGTCAGCCTCCTGCTGCTGTTCTCTTTTGATGGGGGATGGGAAGGTCGGGGGAGGACCAGATAGTGAGGACCCTGTGAGGAGTGGAGATGGTGGGGAGCAGGTAATCAAAACCTCCAGTGCTCAGGGGATCTTTTTTGAGCTGGGGATGGTGATGGTGGTAGGGGGGGTGTTGAATCACTTTGCAGTAATCTCAGTGGGAGCTGAGGTTTCTGAAACACAATGCATGTTTCCCCTTTTCCTCTCGTTCCTTTTGCATGTGGCTTTCTAAACCATGTGTTGGTGATGACTCAGCCACAGCCTTATTTGGTTTTTCTTTTTCACCACTCTCTCCCCTAGGTTGGGTTTGGCAACTTCCTGCCTTTCCTGTGCTCCTAGGTTTCTTAGACTTCAGCCCAGAGATTCCCTTCATGATGGGAAAAGGAGGGCTGCTAAAGGTCTGACCAACGCGACGGGACAATCCTAATGGGCAGCAGGCTTGCCACGGGAGGCTCTCTGTTCTCTCTGTGGACAGGGAAGGAGGGGAGGGGATGTCTTCACTTGATGCTGTGTGGGTTCTGTAGGGAGCCCCAGATGAACAACATGGGGTCCCTCCCCTGCCCTCAGCATTTACACAGCTAACTACTGTACAGGTCATCAGGCATTTATTAAGCACCTACTGTGTATCCTGCACTTCCCTAGTTCTACTAAGGGTGCCTTAATATCCCCAGTCACCCAGGCTATGAACCTCAAGCTGTGTTGGGCTCCTCCTCCCTCTGTCCTGCCATATTCAGTTAGTCACCAGGTTATAGCGATTCTTTTGCAATTTTTCATGTCTGTTTCCTGCTTTTCATGCCTACTTCCACCACCCTGGTCCCAGTTCTGCACTGTGCTAGGCACTGGGGGGGAAATAAGAGCTTTAAATAATAATAGCTAGCATTTAGGTTGCATTCCAAGCTTTGCAAAGCACTTTACAAATATTATTTCATTTTATCCTCACAACAACCCTGTGAAGTAGGTGTTGTTGTTATCCCCATTTTATAGATGAGGAAACTGAGGCAGATAAAGTTTAAGTGGCATGGCTAGGGTCACATAGCTAGTTAAGTGTCAGAGGCTAGATTTCAATTCAGGTTTTCCTGACTTCAGGTCCAGCACTTGATCCACTGAGCCACATACATAAGACATGGTCCCTGCCCCTCATGAAGCCTCCAATATTTTGGGGGATGTGACACATGCAAGATAACTGTAATGCCACTGCATACACTAACAACAATTAAAAACAAACCCTGTAATACAGTATAGCATAGTGGATAAAGAGCCAGCATTAAAACTAGGACTGTCTGGGTCTAAGCCTCACTTCTGATATACACAAATTGTGTGATCCTGGGCAAGTCCAGTAACCTCTCAGTGCCCCCAGGCAACTTTCTAAGACTATAAGTTACAGATGTTCGTTGGTAGGGATAGGGCTTCTTTACCAGGACCTCTCTACACTGATGAAATCATAGGTACAGACAAAATGAATAACATGCTAATGTTTTAATAGTATTTTATCTTTTCCAATTATACATAGACAATTTTAACAATTATTTAAAAAATTTTTGAAAACAATTTTTTGAATTCCAAATTTTCTCCCTCCCCCTCCCTGAAAAGGTGAGAATTTTAAATAGGTTATATATGTGTAATTGTGTAAAACCCATTTCTATGCTATATTAACATTGGCGCACCATAAGCAAGATGCTATCTGAGCTCTAAGGAAGGAAAACTCATGACTGACTTGGTGGAATTTGTTGGAATCAGGGAAGGCTGCCTGGGGAACCTGGCTCTTCAGTTGGTCTTTAAAGCATAAGTTAGAACTCAAAAGGCAGAGCTGGAGAAGGGAGGGGCAGGCCAGGCATGAAACACAATTATGTGCTGACTGCAATCCAGGTTGAGCCTGAAAGACCACCCCTCTCCTCTTCCTACCTCTTCCCTGCTCCCTTCACTTATGGGATGGACCATAGTACCTAGGATAGTGCCTGCTACAAAGCAGGCCCATAATAAACTTAGCTCATCGCTTCACTGGTAACGAGCAACAGAAATACACGATGATAAACACTCGAGATGAGGAGAGGAAGGGGGTCAATGTGAGCTAGTCAGAGAGGAGATCAGGAAGTCTTCGTGTAAGTAATGGGATTGAAGGATGGATAGGATTTCATGAAGAAAAGACTCAGGGGGGAGGGGCATCTAGGTGGTGCAGTGGATAGAGCTCCAGCCTTAGTCAGGAGGACCTGAGTTCAAATCTGGTCTTAGACGCTTGACACTTACCAGCTGTGTGACCCTAGGCAAGTCACTTAACCCTGATTGCCTCACCAAAAAGGGAAAAAAAAAAGACAGAGGGCCTGGGAAACATCTGAAGTGGGAATGGGGGGATGGCATGAGCAAAGATACCTTAGGAATCTGGCACATAGACCATTCTAGAATGGAGGGTTGGGTGGCAAGTAGAAAGATGAGTTTGAGAAAAGTAAGTCAAAGCCAGATTATGGAGGGCCTTGAATGCCAGTTGGAGTTCAGACTTTTTCCATAGACAGTGGGAGACCCCTGAAGGTGTTAGAGGAGGTGCGTGACCCAAGTGGTACTTTAGGAAGTTACACCTGGCAGGAGGCAGGAGAAACCTCAGCAGAGATACCAGTTAGGAGACTATTTTAGTAAAAGGCAACGAGGCCTAAGACCAGGGTAGTCATTTCCTTTCATGCCATGAGAGCAAGGAAAGCAGGAAACAGACATGAGAGACTGCAGAAGAATTGATAGGACTTGGGGACTAACCGGATATGGTAGGACAGAGGAACCAAGACAACTTGAGCTCTAAGCCTGGTGACTGAAGTATGGTGGGTGCCATTAGCAGAATTAGGGAAATAAGGAGTGGTACTGCAGTCGGAACTCCTGACCCCAGGCTCTTTCTTTCATTGACTCAGACCAGAATGCAGGCTGAACCTGGACCAACCCTCTCAATCCCCCCTGTGTCTACCCTGCTCTCTCAGCCACTCTCTCAGAGTGGACCCTGAGAAATGCTCTGCTGCTGTGCTGAGTTGACTCTTCTGTCTCTCTTGGACAGGCATTCCCGAGGATTCCAAGGTAGAGGGCCCCGCCTTCACTGATGCCATCCGCATGTACCGTCAGTCAAAGGAGCAGTATGGTACCTGGGAGCTGCTCTGTGGAAACGAGGTGCAGGTAAGGCCCAGGAGAGATCTCGGGGGTAGGCAGGACTTGAGGCTGTCTTTGCATTCGCACTGGTTAGGGAGAGGTGTAGTGTGGATGGTGAAGTAGGGAGCAAAAAATAGTCATTGCTGGTCTGAGGTCAGCATGGCCTGAGGTCTCCAGTGGAGTGCCACAGGGCTTTGTGCTGGTCTTGTGCTGTTTGCTGTTGTTGGTATCCTGCACGAAAGGCAGAGAGGGCACGGTTATCAGGTTTGTAGGCGACACCAAGCTGGAAGGGATAACTCAAACACCCTGGATGACAGCGAGGATCCAAAAAGATCTTAGGATGGTAGACTATTGGGCTGAATCTAATAAGAATTGTAATAGGGGTAAATTTAAAGTCTGGAGGTCAAAGCATTAACTTCATAATCACGAGTCCAGGGAGGCATACTTAAGTAGCAGCTTGTCAGAAAGCCTGGGCATTTTTAGTGGCCAGCATGGTCCAGCGGTGTTCGTGTGTGGTCCTGGGATGCATTAAGGTAAGCCCAGGAGGCTCTGCCCTGCTCAGACCACATCTGGGCTCTTCTGTGCAATTCTTGGGGAATTGAGGTCAGGAAGGACATTGCTAAGCCAGAGAGTGTCTGGAGATGGGCAGCCAGGATGGTGAAGAGCCTAGTGCCCAGGCAATATGAGGAAAGGGGATGTGGAGCCTGACGAGGACTCAGAGAGGACAAGATCACTGTCTTTGAGCTTTTGAAAGGCTGTCCTGTGGAAACAGAATTAGATTGGTTCTATCTGGCCCCAGAGGGAAGAGCCAGGAGCAAGGAGTGGGGTAAGATTTAGGTTGAATGTCAGGAGACACTTGCTAATGCCTGGAGTTGTCTGAGGTCGGATGGGCCCCTTTGAAAGGAGGCAGGCAGGGGGGACTCCCTCTCTGGGCTGGTCTTCAAGCAGAGGCTAGGTGACCATTGATTGCATATTTTGTAGTGGGGAGTCTTCTTTTTCAGGTACGTGATGGGTAAAGGAATCATGTGAGATGAAGCTAGAGAGGCAGCTTGGGGCAAGACAGAAGTTAATGGGAAGCCACTGGAGATTTCTGAGGAGAGTTACATCTTTACTCTACATTATTGGGAGAATTAGGGAAGCTAGATGGTGCAGTAGATAGAACACTGGGCCTGGAGTTAGCAAGACTCCTCTTCCTGAGCTCAAAGCCAGCCTCAGATACTTATTAGATATTTGACTCTGGGCAAGTCACGTAACCCTGTTGGCCTCAGTTTCCTCATCTGTAAAATGAGCTGTAGGAGGAAATGGCAAACCACTCCAGTATCTTTGCTGAGAAAATCCCAAATGAGGTCACAAAGAATGACTCAACAACAACAAATTAGGAGAACTAAGCTGGTAACCTGTGCAGGTTCAATTGGAGGGAGCAAACGCTAGAATATGGGAGCCTGATTTGGGGGCAGTTGCAATAGTCCCAAGTAAGGGGAGGAATCCCGAATTGGGGTGATAGTGGGGCTGGAGAGAAAGAAGAGGCCAAATGCATCAGAAATCGAAGAGGTGGGAGCAACAGGAGTTCATAAGATGTGGAGGATATCAGAGAAGGAGGAATCAAAGAATGGTGATTCCAAGGTTTTGAGTCTTGGTCCAGATGCCTAGCAGGCAGCTAGGTGGAGCAGTGGGTACAGCACTGGGTCTGGAGGAAGACCTGAGTTCAGATCCAGTCTCAGACACTTACAAGTACTGTGACCCTGGGCAAGTCACTTAACCCTGTGTTAACCCTCAGTTTCCTAATTTGTAAAATGAGCTGAAAGAGGAAATGGCAAACGCACTCTAGTATCTTTGCCAATAATTTGTCATGAAGAGTGGGACAAGACTGAAAAATGACTGAACTGAACCAAGTGTATGGTGATGAGTTCAGGCCTGTTATATTTCCAGCTCAGTAGGTCAAGATGAGCTTCAGTCATAAAACAAGCATTTATTAAGCACCTGTGTGCTAAGCGCTATACTAAATACTGGAGATACAAAGAAAGGCCAAAAAAACCCCCCAAAACCAAAAAAACTGGTCCCTGCCCTCAAGGGACTCACATTCTAATGGAGAGACAACATGCAAATAACAAATAACATACATACATGATATCTATAAAGCTGTTGTTGTTCAGTCAATTTTTCAGTTGTGTCCAGCTCTTTGTGACTCCGTTTGAAGTTTTCTTGGCAAAGATACTGGAGTGGTTTGCCATTTCCTTCTCCAGCTCATTTTACAGATGAGGAAAGTAAGGCCTACAGGGTTAAGTGACTTGCCCAGGGTCACACAGCTAGTAAGAATCTGAGTCAGGATTTGAACATAGAAAGAGGAGTCTTCCTGCCTCCAAGCCTGACACTCTGTCCACTGAGCTATCTAGCTGCCCATATTTATAAAGGAGACGGAAGGAAATCTCAGAGGGAAGGCACTAGGAGTGAGGGAAACCAGAGAAGACCTCCTGCAGAAGGTGGGATTCATGTTAAGTCTTAAAGGAAGCAGGGAAGCCGGTAGGTGAGGGTATAGGAGAGTTTTCTGGGTATGGAGGATGCAAAGGTATGCAGTCAGAGATGGAGTATCATGTGTGAGAAATAGCCAAGAAGGCAGGTATTGCTGGGTTCTACAGGATGTGGAAGAGAGTGAAGTGTAGGAAGGGTTGACAGCTTAGAGGAAGTCCCAACCTTCTCTGACCGACTTTCTCCCTTTGTCTGTCCGTCTGGGACTTTGCCTCTTTCCATCCAGATCTTGAGCAACCTGGTGATGGAGGAGCTGGGACCTGAACTGAAAAGTGTGATAAGCCCCCGGATGAAAGGCAAACCCCAGGAGAGGCAAAGGCAGTGGATACAGGTGGGCACAAAGCAGCTTGCGGCCTTGAAGTGGCCTGCTTCTCTGAATGTGGCTCCTCAGAAGCTCTCTGAAGGCCTCTCTCACCTTCCAATGGTCAAAAGCTGACATTTCCCTTACTCTCCTGAACCCTACTTGCCTTGGTGGAGTTTTCTCCTGACCTTTGTTTTCCTCCAGCCTGGGGGCTTTGTGCTATGGGAGCTTGGCCTAATCAAATAATGAACCCCTAGGAGGACAAGACCCAGTTCTTTGCTGTGTCTCTTCACCCTAGAGCGCCTAGGATTGCATGAGGATATAATAGCATGCAGAGCTCTGTGGGCTCCGTTAGGAAGATGTCATGCGCCCAAGAGGGATTCTCTGTATAAACCAGAGACCACCTTCCCCTCTGTGCAGGAGAAAAAGAAACCTCCCTAAGGCAGTCCGTGGAGAAGAAAAGTGACTGTTGTTTTGCTCCTATAGATCTCAGATGCCGTGTACAGGATGGTCTACGAGCAGACCCAAGCCCACTTTGAGGCCATGGCCACCAAGTGTGTGATGGCCCGGCCAGCCATGGAGAGCGTCATCCGCACAGATATGGACCAGATCATTACCTCCAAAGAGCACTTGGCCAGCAAAATCCGAGGTACAGCAGGTTGTGAGGACAGTACAGCTGTGGGCCCCACGGCTGCACACAGACCCCCTCACTCTATCCTTGCCACTTCCCAAGTCCTTAAGCTCACTGGAACGCATTGCCGAAGCACTGAAATCCTGAAGGTCCCAGAAAGCATTTAGTTCCTAATTTTGAAAAGCTGATCATTTCTGTAGGTTTATTGATGTGCTGATGCTTTGCCGTAGTTCCTAATTGTGTCAATTCCTTACCCTGAAAATCCTGAAGCCTTTCGATCTGCAGGATCAAAGGGCCCCTAGTCATAGGCCCTTCGATCTTGAGTGGCAGTGGATCTCCATGCAGTTGAACATCCCCTTTCTAGAGATAAGGAATATAAGGCCCAGGAGGTGGGGTGATTTCCCAGGTCCCGTGACTTTAAGACCAGGCCTAACTTTATTACTCTTTGAGATTTTTTGTGCCAAGAAAGGCAATGGTTGATTCTAGTTTCAAGGAAGATTTCCTGGAGAGAGGGTGGATTCTAAGAAAGATTTTGATGGAAGGGTGGAGGGAAAGCATTCCAAGGTGGGGTGGGGGGTAGAATCACTTTATTTTCTTGAGTTAGTCCATGTCCAGGATCTACCAATGAAGTAAGAAAGTCGGGACAGACCCATGTCACCCTTGCCCAGGACCTAATCCCAAGCTTTAACAGCTGTTTTCTAGCCCCAGTTTGGGGTCATAAACTTCTCTGGCAGTGAGAAGTCCATGGGTCCCTTCTCAGAATCTTTTTAAATGCAAAAAATAAAATACATAGGATTATGAAGGAAATAAATTATTTTGAAATACAGTTATCAGATTTTTTAAAACAAGTTCATGGATCCCCAGTTAAGGACCCCTGCTCTTGCCTAATTAGTTCTGGGAGAGGTGATGGGTGACTGGGACGTGGGTGGGGAGGACGCAGGCCAAGGAGGAGCTTGACAGTATCTTTCTATCCCATCTCATCCTTCTTGGCCTAGCCTTTATCCTCCCCAAAGCTGAGGTCTGTGTCCGAAACCACGTGCAGCCTTACATCCCCTCAATCCTGGAGGCCCTGATGATCCCCACCAGCCAAGGCTTCACTGAAGTTCGGGATGTCTTCTTCAAGGAGGTCACGGACATGAACCTGAATGTCATCAACGAGGGAGGGATCGATAAGCTTGGAGAGGTAAAAGTCTGTGATGCCCAGGTCACTGGCAAGTGACCAAGTAGGGCTACATCTTTGATAGAGTCACAGAGGCAAAGAATGTCAGAACTGGAAGGGGCCTTAGAACATAGACTTTTGGGGCAGCTAGGTGGCACAGTGGATAGACCACCAGGCCTGAGGTCAGGAGGACCTGAGTTCAAATCTGGCGTCAGACCGGATGCTTGATACTTACTTAGCTGTGTGAAGTGGGCAAATCACTTAACCCCAATTGCCTCACCCCCCCAAAAAAAAAAAGAACACAGACTATTAACACAGAATTACAGATCCCAGGGAGGGAATTGTGGGGACTTAGGGAACATAACATGGGAATGAGGGTGAAACGTTTTTCTTGCTGAGGGTATAGGAAAGGTGTGGTGTGGTGAGAAAAGCATTAGAATAAGAAAAATGAGACCTAGTTTCTAATTCTGGCCCAGCCATCAACTTGCCAAGTGACCTTGGACAAGTCATTTCATTGGTTCACAGTTTCCCATCTATAAAATGAAGAAGTTGAAATAGGTGATGTCTAAGCTATGGTCTAGCTATAATAGCTAGAACATATATGACAGTTGAAGGTTTGCAAAGTGCTTTACAAATTTTCTCATTTGATCCTCAACAACCCTGGAGATAGGTGCTATTGTTATCCCCATTTTACAGATGAGGAAACTGAGGCAAACACAACTTGACTGGCTCAAAGTCCCACACTTAGTAAATACCTGAGGCAGGATTTAAAGTCAGGTCTCCCTGGCTCTAGGTCTTGCATTCCATCCACAATGCCACCTTACTGCCTTTTCCACTGATATTCTGGGAGTTCAGGTTCTTCTTGTGTGAGATCCTGGTGGTTTGTGTCTATCACATTTTGAAACTAAGCAGGCACCACAGATGTCTCAGCCAGAGTGGTGGAGGGTGTCAGATGCCACCCTGGGGAAGGCAAATGCATCACACTCAGGGCGCCTTTGCCTTCCCAGTACATGGAGAAGCTTTCCCAGCTGGCATACCACCCGGTCAAGATGCAGAGCTGTTATGAGAAGATGGACCAGCTGAAGCTTGAGGGGCTACAGCAGCGATTTGATGTTTCCAGTGCATCCGTATTCAAACAGAGAGCCCAGATCCACATGCGGGAGGTAAGAGCCTCAGAGACCTCAGTCCACCCAAAATTCTCCCTCCCTGTCCTTGGAATCTTGGAGAGCAGAGGCCAGAGCAGCATGTATCTCCAGACAGTGCCCCTGGGGTCATGGGGATTTGGGGGTAATACACCGGATGCTGTGATGCTACAGGTTTTGAGTGGTTGGGTCTACCCAGTGACTCTGCCCTGGACCAGGGGAACAAAAATAGATATTCATATCAGCTGGTGATAAAAAAGATAAATACAAGTAACCAAACTATAATCATGTGCCCGGCTCCCAAATAAACAGTCATATTCTTACTATCACCAAGGCAGCATGGGCAAAACTTGTGTTGGCTGCCTTGCAACAATCCTTGTCCCCTATCACAACACACACACACACACACGTACCCATTTGCTAGTGCCTCCTTCCCACCAAAAAAAAAATTACTTTGTATTTATTTTGTATATGCTTAGAAAACGTAAGCTCCTTTCATTTTGTGTCCCTAGAACTTAGAGTCCAGGACATAGTAGGTGCTTAATAAATGCTGGTGGCTTGATAAATAGAGATGCCCTATATCAAGACTTTTTCATCTTGATTGTGTCATAAACCCCTCTGGCAGGGGTGGGGAACCTTCAACCCCCTTGATGTGGCCCTCTAGTTCCACTCATCCAAACTTCACAGAACAAATCATTTGAAGTTGAAGTTTGGATTCAAAGGGCCACACTTGAGGACCTAGAAGGCCAGATGTGACCTCAAGGTCACAGGTTCCCCTCCCCCCTCCCCCAATCCAAAGACATTTTCCCATGTCAAGGAATGCTATTGGGGGGGTGGGGTGAATGTGGGAACAGATTTAAGGAAATTTTATCATTTACCTTGGGCCTTGTATCCCCCAAGAACATCCCTCCTTTCTTCTCTTGTACTTCCTCTATTTTCTCCTTTTCTTTGTATAGCCTTCCGTGTAAGCATAGCATTCTTTATTAGAACATTACAACTGATGCCTTCTACCATTTGGTGTGATGCTCTTCTGTCCCCCCTTCTCCCCAGCACCATTTCCTGTATGGACCCTCTACCCCCATCTATCTCCCATAAAGCTCTTGAATGAGAGGTGGAGGTAGCATGTGAGGAGGGTTTTGAATGCTGGAGAGACAAGGGGGTCAGAGACTTGGAAGTTTTACTCAGTCAACAAGCATTTCTTAAGCACTTACTACGTGCCAGTCACTGTGCTAAGCACTGAGGCTACAAAGGAAGGCAAACAAACAAAAACGAGTCCTTGCCCTCCAGGAGCTTACATTCTAGTGGAGAAGACAACACGTAAATAACTAAGTACATGAAAGATACAGACAGGAGACGGGAGAATCTGAAAGGGAAAGATATCAGGAGCCGAGGAGAATCAGAAAAGGTTTCCTCCCAAAGGTAGACTTTGAGCTAAGTCTTGGAAACTACCAGAAAGCTATGAATAGATAAGTGGGCAGGGGACATCAGTTGTCAGGGAGTTCAAGGGTTAACTAAAGCTGCTTCCTCAATGAGGGGAGATTGTCCAGTGACTTCAAGTAACAGTTTCTGCATGGGTCTGTGGTTCTCCCCTTAGCAAATGGACAATGCTGTCTATACCTTTGAGACGCTTCTACACCAGGAGCTAGGGAAGGGACCCACCAAGGAGGAGCTGTGCAAATCCATCCAGCGCATCCTGGAGCGCGTGCTGAAGGTAAGCTGAGGCTCCCACTTGGGCCTGGAGGAAGATCCCCCCATGTCCCTTTCCCCCTGGCCCTAATCAGTACTCTTGCTCTCTGGCAGAAATACGACTATGATAGCAGTACAGTGCGGAAGAAATTCTTCCGGGAAGCCTTGTTGCAGATCACCATCCCATTCCTGCTGAAGAAACTGGCCCCTACCTGCAAGTCGGTGAGGCCCTGAGCCTGGGGGGGTGGGGTCGCTGGGGGATGGGGTCTGAACTGGGGGGACGGCTAGTAGCGTGAGGTCCTGGTGGTTTGTGTCTTATTGCATTTTGAAACTAAACCTTGAACTTGTAGTTCAAGCTAGAAAAGTACCTTAGCAATCACATTAGTTCAACTCCATTTTAAAGATGAGATCAATGGACTTAGAGAAGGGAAGCCTCTTATCTAAGGTCACACAGGTCCTAAGTAGTAGAGTTATCATTCATTAACTCTCTTATCCCAATTCCCCAAACTGTGGCACTGAACTTGTTAATGTCTGAAATTATAAAATCATGGAATCTTATTATTATTTGCTATGATTGATGGATAGCATCTTAGAACGTTAGTGGGAAGGGGCCTTGAAGAGGGTCTAGTTCAGTGCCATTATTTTCTAGATGAAAAAAATTGAAGCTTGCCCAAAGTCACAGAGCAAATTGATCATAAAGGAAGGACTAGAATCCAGGTGTCCTGACTCCCAGTCCAGGGCTTTTTCCATGGAAACATGCTTCCCCAAACTTGCTTCCTCTGTGCCCACCTCAGTGGCAGGTTTTGCCCGACAGAGCCACAGACCTATAGGGAGTGAAGGGAGAAGAACATGGGATGTTCTTTGGAAACAGGGCATCTCTGTGCTGCTGCCCCAAAGTAGGGGCCCTTGGCTCTCCTGAGCTGAGTCACTAGACTGGCCCTGACTGTGTAGACCTGGCCTTGTGTTTTTATTTTTCAGTGTCTAATGATGCTTTCTTCTTATATCACTCTCACTTCCCAATAACTCTACCCGCTTCCCTGACCCCTCACCGTAGAACCCTTCCCTTGTAACATAAGTACATTCAAGTGAAGTTAGTCAACACATTGGCCACTGGAGAAAATGTATGCCGCAATCTATCCATACAATCCACCGCCCAGTCTGCCATGAGGCAGGAAACATGCATCATTGTCAGGCTTCTAGTCATCATTGGCGACCGCATTGTTCTAAGCCCCCTCATGTCTTTCAGCATTGATTGCCTTTATACCTTTATATTGTTGTTTTCATTGTGTAAATTGTTCTCTCGGTTTCACCTTCCTTCACTGCATGTTGATTCATCCTAGTCTTCCATGTTCTTCTGAATTCTTCGTATTCTGTAAGGTGCAGCAAAATGCCATTATGTTCATCTGCCATGATTTCCTTCTCTCTAGGAGCTCCCCAGGTTCCAGGAATTGATCTTTGAAGACTTTGCCAGGTTCATCCTGGTCGAGAACACGTATGAAGAGGTCGTGTTACAGACGGTCATGAAGGATATCATGCAGGGTAAGGGCCCCTGCTGGCCAGGGATGATCAGCTGGGCAGCTTTTAATGGATTGGCCCAATTAACACACACACACACACACACACACACACGGACACCTGGAAGTTTGGGTTTCCCTGAGTTTGGGAAAGGCTTTGGCATTACCAGGCAGTGGTTAGGACCTTACAGCTAAGGTCTGTTGGACAGACACTACAGGGAAATGACTTCCAAGCCATCTGGGGACATAAGATGAGCCATCCAAAGATGAGTGAGTGTGGGATCCTATGATGTCCAGGGGAATGAAGTCATGGAGGCAAAATGATATAGCAGGGAGAGGACTGTACTAGCATGTAGAAACCTGAGCCCAGTTTTTGTTCTACACCTGAGTGATCCTGAGCAATGAATTTCAGCCCCTCTCTGCTGGTTCCTGTGGCCCATACTGCCTCGTGACATCTCTTCTACTATTGTTTTGAACTGTTAAAAAATCTTATGTTGTTCTTGAACTTTTCATGGTTGCAAATGTCTCACCTCCTGTCCTAGAAGGCAGTGAGGGGGCACAGTGGAAAGAGCGGTGGGCCTGGAGTCAAGAAGACCTGAGTTCCAATCCTGCCTCAGACACTGGCTAGCTGTGTGACTCTGCCCAAGTCACTTAACCTCTGTCTGCCCCAGTTGTCTCATCTGTATAATGGGGATAATAATAGCACCTCCTCCTAGGTTTATTGGGAGGATGAAATGAGATAATGTTGTAAAGCACTTTGTAAACCTTAAGGCTCTGTATAAATGCTAGCTATTTTTTTTAAGGACTTTTAAGTTCTTTGAGGGATGAGGTCTAAGTTAGTTTGTAAGGCAAAGGGAGTAAGAAAAAAGGAAATAAAGTAAATGGACATGAAATAGTAATTACTGAGAGAAGGGAAAGGAAGTTGGGTGTCAGTATCTAGTCGCTGAAAGAAAGGAAATAAAGGTGTGACTTGACAAGTCATTACAAGGGAATAAAAAGGAGTAAAGATAATATAGACTTGTTGTAGTTGGAGTAATGAGCCTGAGCACTTTCCCTGGCCCTTTTGGGGCACCCCATGCTCTGTCCCTTTCTGGAGGTGCACAGGGATGAATGGGGGGCCTTCGGGCACTGTGGGCCCTTTTAGCAAGGGACCAGGCTGAATGTTCAGCCCCATCACCTGCAGAGATTAACAAAGATGATTTAAGGGTGTGAACTACAAGAAGGGAGGGCAGGAAGCATTTTGCTGGAGCTTGAATTGAATGTACAGTATTCCTATTTCTGACCTAGCCAAGTGACTGCTATTTATGCTCCCTTCCTAGGACTGGGAAGGAGCTTACGGGATATGTATCCTCTCCACCCAAGGTTTTCTTTTTTTTTTTTAATATAAATTTGTTTATTTTTAGTTTTCAACATTCACTTCCACAAGTTTTTGAGTTCCAAATTTTCACCTCATCTCCCCCTCCCCCCACCCCAAGATGTCATGCATTCTGAATATCTCTACCCGTAGTCTGTCCTCTCTTCTATCTTTCTCCCCTTCCTTATCGCCTTCCCCTTCTATTTTTCTGTAGGGCAGGATAGACTTCGGTACCCCATTTCTTATATTTCTTATTTCCCAGTAGCATGTGAAAACATTTTTTTTAAAAACATGTGTTTTTAAAACTTTAGGTTTCAAATTTTCTGTCTTCCTCCCTCCACACCCACCCTCACTGAAAAAGCAAGCAACTCAATATAGGTTGTACATGTGCAGTTAAGCAAAACATGTCCATAGTAGACATGTTGTGAAAAACTAACTCTATTTCCCTTAATCCTATCCTGCCCTCCCATTTATTCTATTCTTTCTTTTGACCCTGTCCCTCCTCAGAAGTATTTGCTTCTGATTACCCCCTTTCCCAATCTGCCCTCCTCTCTATCATTCCCCTGTTCTCTTGTCCCCTTCTCCCCCTATTTTCCTGTAGGGTAAGACAGATTTCCATACCCAATTGAATGTGTATGTTATTCCCTCCTTAAGCCAAATCCTATGAGAATAAGATTCACTCATTCCCTCTCACCTTCCCCTGTAAGAGACTTTTCTTTTCTGCTTTTTTTTTGAGATAATTTACCCCATTCTACTTCTCCCTTTCTTCTTCTCCGAGTATAATCCTCTCTCATCCCTTAATTTTATTCTCCATATATGACCCCTTAATCTTCAGCTCACCCTGTGCCCGCTATCTGTCTATCTACATATACATACATATAATTTTTTTCCTCCAACTACTCTGATACTGACAAAGGTCTCATCCACCCAAGGTTTTCAAGGACAATGATGCAGTCTTTAGAAACATGGAAGGTTTCAATGTGAAAAACCAAGAAAAAAAAGGATCTGATGTTTCAGAGAGGAACTGGACCTGTTCCCAGGGCTTGCAAGATAGAAGTCTTTCACCCAGAGGAAGAGAGGAGAATGGACTGCCGAGCCCATAGGGCTAAGACTCAAATTTGAGGCTCTTTCTAAAGAGGGATGTGTCCTCCAGAGAGTGATAAGATGGTGGCTTGGGTGCCGTTAGACTAGACAAAATCCAGTGTTATAGGAAGAAGAGATGAGTACTAATAGCTGGTGACTTCCTGCTGAAGGGGACTGAGGCAGGTACTTGTTGACCTGATAACTATGATAGAAAGGTGTGTTGTCAGGGCAGCTAGGTGGCGCAGTGGATAGAGAGCCAGCCCTGGAGTCAGGAGGACCTGAGTTTGAGTCTGGCCTCAGACACATGATACTAGCTGTGTGACCCTAGGCAAGTCACTTAACCCCAATTGCCTTGCAAAAAAAAAGAAAAGAAAAGAAAAGAAAGATGTATTGTCTTCCTGGGTCACATGAAGGCAACAAGGTAGGGTAGTGAATGAAGTGTCTGGTTGGGATTCAAACTCGAAGACTTGAGTTCAACTATTGCCTCAGACAGTTGGCAGCTGTGTGACCCTGGACAAGTCACCTAACCTCTGTCTGCCTCCGTTTACTCATCTGCAAAATCAGAATAATAACAGCACCTTCTTCACAGGGTTGTTCTGAAGATTAAACAAGATAATGTGGTTAAAGTGTTTTGCAAAATTTAAAGCCTTATATAAATGTTAGCTATTATTTTTATAGAAAACCTCCCAGGATTTGTCTAAATAAGTGATTACTATCCACTTCTGGTGATTCATCTGGGCACAAATGATATTCACACACACAGTGGAAAGCATTGCCAATGATTATAAAGTCTTGGACAAGAAACTGAAGAACATAGGAGTCCTGAGAGTGTTTTCATTGCTTCTACCCTTTCAAGGCCAGGGATTTAGAAGATAAAAAGCTGATTGGAGAGGTGAACAGCTGGTTAAGAAGATGATGTCTGAGAATGGGATTAGGATTTCTGGACCCCATCTTAGAATACAGGAATATGGCAGGCTTCAGGCCAAGGATGGTACATAGCTAACTAGGGCCTCTCAGAATGTGTTTGCCTTGTCTCTGACAAAACTAATCACACGAACTTTTGACTGAAAAGGAGAGAGGAAGAGGAAGATTGACTACATATATCTGTCAAACTAGAGACATTAGAAACATTTCACTCCATAGGTCCCACTAAGACTTGGGGGGAATGAGACCAGTGACTCGTGTATTTTATTTAAAAGGAACAATATCAGGGCAGCTAGGTGGCGCAGTAGATAGAGCTCCAAGCCTTGGAGTCAGGAGGACCTGAGTTCAAATGTGGCCTCAGACACTTGATACTTACTAGCTGTGTGACCCTGGGCAAGTCACTTAGCCCCAATTGCCTCACCAGAAGAAAAAAAAAGGAACAAGATCAGTAAAAGGATGGTTTGGAGGTAGTGAGGTATGTGCTAAGAAGAAATGCTTATATGGAACATCCAAGGTGGGTGTGGTGTGATATGACATATAATGAGAGCATTTCAATGAATAAATCAACAAGCATTTATTAAGTATCTTCTATGTGCCAGGCACTGTGCTAAGTGCCAGGAATATAAAGAAAGACAAAAACCAGTCCCCTGCTCTCGGGCTTTACAGTCTGATTGGGAAGATGCCATGCAAACAGCTGTGTACAAGCAGGACAGCTACAGTTAGATGCAAGGTAATCTCAGAGGGGAGGCCTAAGGGATAAGGAAAGGCCTCCTGTACAAGGTGGGCTTTGATCTGAGTCTTGAAGGAAGCCAAGGAAGATGAGAGGCAGAGATGAGGACACCAAGCATTCCAGGCAGAGTCTCCATGGAATGGGCTGTGGAATGTTGTGTGAGAGGCAGCAAATAGGACAGTGTAGCTGGGTCATATGTAAGAGACGCAGGGCAGAGAAAAGTTTCTGGAAGATTGGAAAGGTAGGAAGGGGCCAAGTTACAAAGAGCTTTAAAAACCGAACAATTTTACGTTTCATCCTGGAGGTTTTCGAGAGCTATTGGAGCCTAATATGAACATCAATGAAAGGACAAACAGAAGTGATTTTATAATTGGGGTATACTATAGACTACCTGACAGAAAGAGGAAATGCCTCAGGAATTCAGGAAATAATTATACACATTATAAAATAATGGTGATGGACTTCACTTGTCCAGCTCTCTGCTGGATTATTGAGCTCTCCAGAGCTCTTTTTATAAAAAGCCAAAAGTAGATCAGCCCTGGCCTGCTTCTTGTCTTGCCTTAGTGATATAATATGATATTATATGTGATGTTCATTCTTCAAAAGGTGAAGGAAGCAACAAGGGGGAATTCTGTTATGAATCTGATTGTCACCAACATTTAAGAAACTGGTTATGGTAAAAATGGCAGGAGTCTTGTAGGGAAGTGGTCTTTAAATTTATAGTAGAGAAGAGAAAAGTCAGTCACACAATTTGATATGCAGCCTAGACTTTGAGGGCAGATTTCAAAGGGTTCAGAGCAATGATCGGCTCCCACGAACTGAAGTGTGACAGGAGAAGTCAACCAAGGAGGGGTGGAAACTCAGGAATGAAATTTCAATGATATGGTGGGAGACAATCCCAAGGAGAAAGGAAGATATGAGTTTTCTGAAGAGACAACTGGGGTTGCACAGAGAGCTCACCTGCCAGCTTAGATATTTAAAAGAAGATGGGAACCAAAGAGATGTTTGATGACCCTGATTCCAGAGGAGCAGCAAGAAAGCACGTGCCATACCTTCTGAAGGAGAGGCAATGGACTCAGAGGGTGGAATGAGACATGAGCTTTTTGGACATGACCAGTGCAGGAATTTGTGTTGCTTGACCGCGCATATTTTATTACAGGACCGCCCTTGTCTTCTGTCACTGAACTTACATACTGTTCTAGAAGGGTTGCTACATGTTCACAGAGGCAAACATGGACTTTATACTAAACAGAAACACAGTGATCGGGAAGGGGGACGTACATCTAGGGGAATCTGAACGAGATTCTTGGAGAAAATGGCGCTTAGCTGAGTCTTGAAGGTTCCCGGGGGTTACAAGAGGCAGAGAGGAGATTGGGAATGCATTCTAGGGATGGAAGGGTCAGGGAAGGGGGGTGATAAACTGTATACAGGCATAGGGAGATGGAATGTCACGGACAGGGAACAGCCTATCCATGTAGAGATTACTAGAGTAATTATACTAATTAGTGTGTATGTATAAATTATATATTATGTTATAAATTATATATATATAAATTATGTATATACTAGTTACATATATATTAGTGTATGGTACATATATGAATAGAGATTGTGTGTAATTATACTAATATTAATAGGCACCTAGATGGCACGGTGAATAGAGTTCTGAACCTGGAATCAGGAAGACCTGAGTTCAGATTTGGCCTCATATGCTTCCTAGCTGTATGACTCTGGGCAAATCACTTTGCTTCTGTCTGCCTCAGTTTCCTCATCTGTAAATTGGGCGTAATAATAGCACCTACCTCCCAGGGTTGTTGTGATGATCAAATGAGATGATATTTGTAAAATGTTTTACAAACCTTAAAATGCTATATAAATGCTGGTTGTTATTGTATTACTGCTGTTATTATTGTTATTATTATCAATCAGCCTGGAAAGATATACTGGAGACAGACTGTGAGAGGCTGTAAGGGGCAGAAGAGGTTGCATTTTATCCTAAAATAGGAGGAGCCTCTGCACCTTCTCGAGCAGGGTAGTGACATGATCAGACCTGGTCAGTTTAGAGCTTTGTGGAGGATAGTTTAGAAAGGACTGGATATGTAGACTGGACATAGAGAACCCAGTTTGGAGACTGTTGCAGTAGTCCAAGTGAGAGGTAATGAAGGCCTAGGATGGCTGCAGTGTGAGTGGAGAGGAAGGAATGGATAGGAGAAATGCTGAGGTGGTAGGGTAGAATCCACAATGCTTGGCAGCTAATATGAGTAGGGAGAGGGATAAGTGAAGAGGTGGTAAGAAAGCATTTAGCTGCCCTTGATTAATTCAAATCACTTGGCCCAGATGAATTCTATTCTTGGGGACTGAAAAGAACTGGTGGATGGGATTGTTGAATCACTGTCAGTGATCTTTGGATAATTGTGGGAAAGAGGAGAAGTGCCATAGTACTGGAGAAGGAGGGGATGTCCTTATTTCAGTGAGACAGAGACAGAGAGGATGCAGCAAATTATAAGCCATTGAGTTTGACTTCAATACCTGGGAAAATTTTAATGGGTATTATTAAAGTTCCTGAACATCTAGAAAAGAAAATGGTGACCACAAAAAACTAGCTTGACTTCATCAAGAGCAGGTCATATTATCAATCAGAAAATGGCTAGACAAATTGTGCTTCGAGAATATAATGGGATTGGAAAAAATAAAATACTGTTTACTAAAAAAAATAACGCAATATTATTGTGCCATAAGAAAATAAGAGATGTACAGGCAGTGATTCATTGTGAAATAAGCAGAACCAGGAAAACAGTATAGTATGCACAGTAACAACAATAACATAAATGGAAAGAGAATGAGTACCCTGTGATTATAGTGACCAGACTTGGCCCCAGAAAATGCACATCCCAGCTCTTACTGGGGAGGTGGGAGACTATGGGTATGGAATACTACATATGCCATCAGGTGCAGTCAGTAAGTCAGGTGGTTTTGGGTGAATTGTTTTTTCTTTTTCTCTTTTAATTATTTGCTACAAGGGAAGGCTTGCTGAGTAGGGGAGGGTGTGATGGCTATATATACAGGGAAAAAAGTGATAGAAAAACAGAAGGCATCAATAAAATAAAACAAAGAATATAGTAATGTCAGACTAATTTTATTTCCTTTATCGTCAGGCTTAGGTGGGTCAGGAGAATGCTATTGTAGATGTAGTTTACTAAAATTTTTTTGAGTAATAGTTTATTTTTTCCCAATTACATGTAAAACCAATTCTTAACTTTACTAAGTTAATTTTTAAAGCATCTCATTTTGTAAAGTATCTTTTTCAAAGTATCTCATGCTATTCTTGTGGAAAATAATGGAGTAATATGGGTTAGTTCAGAAGTATGGGACTTGAGACCTGCAAAACTTTAGAGTATAGAGGAACCAGATTTAAATATAATTAGGAAATGTTTAACAAAATAAATAAAAATACAATACAACACAGATTATCTTCATTTCTGGTTTTCTAAGTAAATGTGCCCCGCCCATCCCCCCAACTCTTTCCATTTCTATTTGAGTTTGATACCACTGGGTGGTTGTTGAGTCGGTTTCAATCCTATTCAACTCTCAGTAACTCTATTTGGGTTTTTCTTGGCAAAGATACTGGAGTGGTTTGCTATTTCCTTCTCCAGCTCATTTTACAGATGAGGAAACTGAGGCAAACAGGGTTAAATGACTTGGCCAGGATCACATAGCTGAGAAGTGCCTGAGGCTAGATTTGAACTCAGGTTCTCCAGAGTCTAGGGCCTTGGCACTCTATCCATTGCACCATCTAGCTTAGATAGTACAATAAGGTGCATTCAGAACTGGCTGTATGGTTGTACTTAAAAGGTGGTCATGGGTCACCAGCCTGCTGCTGTGGTGTCCTAGGGAGACAACCAGGGAGATGTGCTAGCTCGGCCCTCTGCTAGTTAAGATCCATTTCAGTGACATCACATGGAGAAAGGCCTAGATGGCATGCTCAGCATGTCTGAGGATAGCACAAAGCTAGAAAAAGGGCTAGAAATAGAATTAGGGTTAGGGAACTCACAGAATGACAATCCGACAGGCTAGGAATAAATACTGGGCTGAAATGAAGAAAAAGAAAAATAGTGATAGGGGAAAATATAAACCTCTTAAGCTTGTGTTCAAGAAATCAACTCCACAAATACGAGGTGGGGAAGACTTGGCTAGAGAGCAGTTTCTCTGAAAAAGATTGGGGCCTTTTCATGGACCTTAAGCCAAGTGAATACGGCAGCCACATAGCTCCAGGAATAAGGAGGCAGATGCCCAGCCATGCTCTGCTCTGGTTGGATCACTTCCAGAGTATCCTTGTGTGTAGTTCTGGGCACCACCATGTGGGAAGGTCCTGGCAGGCTTGGCTAAAGGGATTGGGAATTTAGCAGAGAGGAAAGCAAGCTCAGGGAAAACGTGATACCTGTCTTCAAGTATTTGAAAGGCTATCCCATGGTCTTCCATGGACCAGACCTGTAGTCTGACCTCAAAGGGAAGAACCAGGAGCCGTGGGGGCAAGTTGCAGAGGCTTGGGGTTAGGAAGAACTTGCCAGCAGTGAAAGTTCACCAAAGAGGGAATGGGCTATCTCCAGAGGCAGTGGATTCCCCATCATGGGAGGTTTTCAAGAAAAGGCTGATGATGGGGCAGCTAGGTGGTGCAGTGGATAGAGCACCAGCCCTGGATTCAGGAGGACCTGAGTTCAAATCCGGCCTCAGACACCTAACACTAGCTGTGTGACCCTGGGCAAGTCACTTAACCCCATTGTCTAGCAAAAAAAAAAAAAGGCTGATGGACCCCTTGTTGGGTATAACAGAGGGGATTCTTTCAGGAGTATGGCCAGCAAGGTCTCTTCCAATTCTAAAATTCCGCAATTCTGAGTTTCTTACTTTGTTCAGCTTTGTATCCTTCACCTCACCTGTGAGAGGGCACTCAGCACATATTTGTTAAATGTCTGTGGGACAGGCCCAGCTGCAGGAGTCAGGGAACAGAGGGAGGATATTGAATGACTATTGGATGAATAACCCCCCCATTTTTGTGTTCCAGCTGTGAAGGAGGCAGCGGTGCAGCGGAAGCACAACCTTTACAGGGACAGCATGGTGATGCACAACAGTGACCCCAACCTCCACCTGCTGGCCGAGGGCGTCCCCATTGATTGGGGAGAGGAATACAGCAGCGGCAGCCCAGGGGAGGCAGACCTGTCTGCTGAAAAACGGCGCCGAGCAAAGCAGGTGGTCTCAGTGATCCATGATGATGAGGCTGGGCTGCCTTATGAGCCGTGCCCAGAAATGCTGTCCCCAGGAGGGCCTGAGAAGGAGCCAATCCCCTACCCTGCATCCCCAGACAGCGTCACAGAGCTACGGGGCCTGCTGGTGAAAGAGCTCCAGGTGGAGAGCCCCCAGTCTGTTGCTGAGCCACTCACTAATGGCACGTCCCCTAGAGAGAGCCCCCAGCCCCTGGAGGCTGAGGGGGAGAAAAGTCTTCGCCAACAGGCCTCTCCCCTCAACCACACCCACCACGAGTCAGCCCCTACCATCCCAAGTGAGGAGGCCGTCTCACCTCCAGCTACCCCCATCCGACGCCTCCCCTCTGAGGAAGAAGCAGACAGTGATCACTCCAAGCCCAGTGACAAGGAGACCGGGGAAGAGGTATCTGGCCAAGGAGGTAACCCATATGTCCAAACCACCACAGAAGACAGCACAGGTGTGCAGACTGAGTTTTAGGCCAGAACCTCTCCACTCCCCACCCCATGGATTCTGGATTCTGGTCAGGGGTGTGCACGATGTGACGCCCTAGCTGCCCCACAGCCCTCATCTCCAACACCCCCCCCCCCCCCGCAGCGGACACTTAATACTGCTGATCTTTTGGAATGTGACTGACTGGAATGGAAGCAAGCCAAGCTGGACAGGGGTCGGGGGTTGTTCACTCGATATCTATTGTAAACATGTCTTGTTCAGGAGTAATGAGGGGCTGGAGGGTAGAAGGGAAAATGGGACCCACACTATTGAATGGCCCCCTGGTCAGTGCACATGCCAGCCTTGCAATCCCCTGAGCCCCAGTTCTTTCAGGACGCCCTAGGGGTTCATCCTTTCACTCTGCCATTACATGAACATATATGTTTATACGTCAAAGCACACATGTGGGAGAGTGCATGCTCCAGTCAGTCACTTTATCAGGTTAGGAGGTGACCAGTAAGTTAAATACAAACCTGGCTCATCCCTCAACCCCTTCCCTGTCCCCTGTGTCCCTTTTTCTGTTTGAGATTGAGAGGAAGGGAGATAGAAGATACCACCTGACCACAGCGGCAGACTAAATGTCACGATTTTCCCTTGTTGGCTGGGGGCAGAGGAAGGTGTGAGGGAGAGTCAGGAGGAAACTGGTGCCCATCCCCAGCTCTTTCCCTGGGCCTCGTTCAGTGCCTGCCTTGACATCATGCTATCGGTACCGTATTAAAGATTGCAGCTTAGCTGGGAAGCTGCCCTTTTCTGGCCCATTCTTTCAGACAAAAAGCTTCCTTCCTTTCTCTTCCTTCCCTTCTCCCCCAAAGGAATAGGAGAGGGGCAAAAAAAAGAAGCTAAAGTATTCTAGAATCCACTCAAAGCCAAGCGGTTCCTGAGACTGGAGAAGGATCTAGCTTCCTTGAGCACTGAGCTACCCTATTTTAGCCTTTCCTCTCCTCTCCTCCCCTCTTCTCCATCCAGGAGTGTTTTCCCCAGGCACTTGAAGCCTCTGGCCCTCAACTGTTTTCAGCTGGAGGGACTGGCCATGAGTGATATCCTCAGTGTCTGTCTGCCTTCTAAGCCAGCAAGTTACCTTTCTTCCAAAGGGAGGTGACATGATAGCCATGGCAGAAGCTTCTTGGTCTGAACCAGCTCCCCCACTGAAAACTCCCTGCCTTATCAGGACTGGTACCGCCAGGGGTTGTTGATCTGTCCGGGAGAGAGACCTGCTAACTCTGGCACAGATGTATGTGTTAGGGGGTAAGCATGGATAGGGATGTAGCCCTATTTTCTAGTTCTGGGGGATGGAGTTTTGTTGCATCCAGTCTGAGGTGGGAGAGACACATTCCCTTGGTCCATTGTAATAGTTCTTAAGGAAACAATTTATCCATTGAAGTGTATCAGGAGACTTTAGGCCTAGTGTTGGGGAAGAGAAAGATTGTCTGGTGCATGAATTCTAAAGGAAGGAGTATTTTAGATGCTAGGTCTCATCCCAAGACAAATATCAATTGTCTTAAAGTTGGGCTTGTGGGTGAAGTGGTGGGTTAGGTCTCAACATATGACTTGGGAGGTTGAGGGTGGCAGAGTTAAAGTGTTAGACGAGAGAAAGGGATTTGGTCAGGGATAGAGGTGGAGGGTGGCGTGTTTCTATGAGGGGTGAGCTGGGAGAATTGTTCGTGTGACGTGAGAATGAAGCCAGGAGGGCACGTAAGGATGTGAACTAGGAACAGAGTCAGGAAGACATGCAGAGAGTGTATGACCTGTAGCATCCCAAGGCCACATGGGACCTCAGGAAAGGAGGCAGCCTTGGTTACAGGGAGTAGCTCTTCTGGAGGCATGGCAAAGGGGGAGACTGTGTTCAAGTGAGTGTCTGATCAGGGGTGGGGAGAATTCCAGCCATCCTGGGTTAGGGAAGTAGAGGCAGGTGTTATCTGGAATTCCATAAGGGCAGAGCTGTTTTGTGTCACTGGTAGGTTGTATGCAGTGAGGAAATTGTCCTGTTTACTTCCCTTGGTCACCAAGCCAAGCCTCAGCACCATCCCCATCCCATTTTTGGAACTCGGGGTTTTGTTTTGCATGTGATCAGTTCTGTGGCATTGTCTCTATATTTCTTTCCCTTCCTTCATGCATTCTTATTTCTTATGGGGAAGAGGCCGTGGTCTCTTGCCTTCTAAAAAATAATTGGCCATGGTCAATTGCCTTTTTAAAAGAGAGGAAAGACCAAAAGAGTTGAATCTGCTTGGGTAAGGGAATCTTTTCTGTATTTCACCCCCAGCTAATCTGAGAGAATAAATGCTTCATGCTTTCCCAATATCCAGATCTCACATGTCCACACAAATAAAAACTGACTTTAGGGGAACTGTGGATTCACCGACCACTACAGGGGCCTGCTAAATGCTTATGGATGGAGCCTCCCAAGCTCTGTAGGAGAGATCTGCATCCCAGGCATGTGACTCAGAGGTTCTCGGTATCAGCTTTGGTCTGGCACACACACAGTACACTCACCAGGTGATCTTAGTCACCGCATCCGCTCAGCCCGAGCTGCCTGGCTTTTTTTATACATCATCATGTGTTAACTCTTGGCACTGCAATTGACTTCCGTTTTTATCGGACCCTTATTCCTAAAAAGTTATTCTGGATTTGGGACGGGCGAGATCACGGTGAGTCCTCTGTGAGCTGTGCTAGTATCCATCTGTACTCACAGACACCCCTTGACCAGTAATGGGCTGTACTTGATCACATTCCTCTTCTAATGGAGAAGAAAACCAAGGAAAAGACTGGCTTCTTCAGGATGTGGCTTGGACGCAGGCCAGGGAAGGAAATTCTCCTCCCCCCTTAGTCCCTCCCTTCCCTACCCCCTCCCCCAGACCCATCACATCCTGTGTTGGAGCAAACCAGCTTCCTGAGGCTGGGGGCAAGTTAGGGGCTGGTTCACATTTCCATCCTGGGCAAAAGTCTTGGGAACATGGGGAGGAGCCAGAGGATCCTTTCAAGGGCAATGCAAAGCCATGTGGCCCAGTGAGTGCTGAAACGCAGGGTCCTGGAATTAACTCCCTGAAATGGACAGCTGATACTTCTAAGCACACTATGAATCTAACCCGATTCTTCTACAAACATTCCGTTTTTTAAAATGCCTTGTAAACTTCTTCCTTTTTCTTACTGGGGGTCCAGCCTGAACCACTCGGGACCCCCTTACAAGTGCCTTCCCTTGGGTTATTTCCAATCTGCCTCTTTCAAGATATTGTATTGAAAATATTATACAAAATGTTTATGCTTGTACTAATTAATAAATGCTTTATTTAAAGCCAGCCCCATTGTCTGCTGCTTCAGAGGAGAGGAGAAGGGATGAGCCATGCTCAGATTGCTAAACTGCCTTTGTGGGAAGGGTCAGGTGTATGGGGAAGACGGGTCAGGCCTAGGTCACATGTTGCTCAAAGTCTTGGATCTCACCTGCAATTAGAACAGAACCTGGAACTGTATAGGGGGGAGGGGGCTCTTTGGTGAGCAAGGCATGAATGAAGATTGTGCAGCTCCCCAGGGGAGCTTAAAACCCCCAACCTTGCTTCAGGGACAGGATGGGGCAAAATGAGTACCAGCGCGCACTTCTGAGAGAGCAAGTTTATCAACCAGAAGTGAAACAGGTCCCTTGGGAAGAGGAGTCCATCTACTTGTACTTTTTAAAAATAAGTTTTTATTGATGTTTTCTCTTTCTTACATCATCGTAGTTATCCTCACTCTCCTTCCCTCTCCCCCTCCCAGAGCTATCACATATAACAAATATTTTTTAAAGAGAGGAGGGAAAAAAGAAAGAAAAAAAATTTTAAGAGGGGAAAATCAACACAATTGATCTATTCGCTGAAAAGTTCCAAAAACGTGCCACGTGTAACACCTGCAGACCTCCCACCTCCATGAAGGGGGTGGCTTAGGGGTGTCCTCTCAAATCTCTTCCTTCAAGGCCATCATTTCTTTTAATTGTGTGTGTGTTCTTTCCATTTGCACTGCTGACGTTATGTGTGTATACTGTTTTCAGGCCACACAGGTGAGGGCAAACACTGATCTGTTGGGGAGGGTTACTGTGGAGGCAGGGGGCTGGCCTCCTCCCAGAACGCTAGGTGACCTCCAGTGCGTGGCTCCCAGCTTTTCATGCTGGGAGCAGCCTGTGGACCCTTGCGCAGTGCCCGGCCTCCGGCACTGCAGTTGTGGGCGGGGCCAGCAGACACCTGGTGGCCAGGCCCTCAGATTCTGAGAGCCTGGCGCCCCCTGCTGGCCACAGGCCTGGCCAGGCTCTCCATCCAGCGTCATTCCTAACCCTCTAAAGCCAAGAATGCAGAGAAAGCATCAGGGGTAATTTATGTAAATTATCATGCGGAGGAAATCGAGGGGAGAGAGGGTGTTGTGTACATGCTTGCCTTCTCAGGCCATCACTGATGTCACGATTTCTGCATAGGAGGTGCCTTTCAGCCCTCAAATTCTAGGAGTCTGAGCTTCCAGAAGCCCAGGACCTTGAACCCAGCCCTTCCTCGTGGAACCAGAAAGCTCCTTGCCTCATCCTGGCCCTCATCCCTGAACAGAAAGCCTGTGCTCAATGCTTCCACTGCCATTTCCCTGAAGTTAAACAAGGCTGGGGGCCCCCAAATGGGCCTCCGGCCAGCTCCACCAGAGGCAGTAGAGGGGCTGGCCTATGACAGCATCCCCTCTTCCTTTTAGGCTAAGCCAACTTGGTTGAATAAAGTTCAGTCCAACTGCCAGGATTCAAATGTGACCAAGGAAGGGGGGTGTCAGTCTTCCCTGTGGATTCAGCAGTGTACCACGGAAAGCACTAGGCCAGGAGTCAGTTTGTGAGTGCTGGGCCTGGCTCTGCCACTGAATGAATAACGTTGGCCAAGTCACCTCTCTGGGCCTTAAAGGTGGACGTTAACTCCTTCATCCCTAGGATCCCTTCTGGCTTTGGATCTATTTTTTTCTCTCCCTACCCTGTCTTGAGTTTATTCTTGCTACTAAGCTATTTTCCCACAGGGAAAACAGGCTCACCTTGTCCCAAAAGCATGACACGCACTAGCTCATAGCCAGGTCCACCAACACAAAGACAGCTCAGGCACTGAGGGTGGGAAGGTGGAGATTTATTTGTTTTGAGACTTACGAGCTCACCTTCAGTGCTCATGCACTGCACTAGAGGGACAGAACAGCGGCTCTATCTACTAAGGCGAAAGAAAGGACCCCACAGGAAATGATGGAAGCTGCTGGGTGTGCCCAGGTGTGGCCCCTGCTGGCTTCCCCTTCTCAGTCTGCCATGTAGGTGGCCACCCCTGGATGTGCCCCAGAAAAAACAGGAGACGCACAGAGCTGGGTATCAGAGTAGACTCACTTCTTCCAGGAGCCTCATCTACAGCAGGCTGGGCTTTCTGGGCTGAACATGGCACCTTATCCTTTGTGGAATGGGTCACTCACCCCATACTGACCGTTCCCCAAGGGGCCCACAGCGCACAGGCTGCCTGTTCACTTTAGCACCCAGCTCAACTGTCCACACCTAGGAAGGCATCCCCTTGAAGCAGAGACGTTGACCAGTCAGACATACAGATAACAGGGTGTCATCTCCACATCTGGTTAAGACCAACCAGGAATCTTGCCAACAGATTCTCCAAGCCTTCACTGGGTCTTTGCATCCCTTTGAAACAAAGATGTAGACCAGCCAGACGTACAAAGGATGTCATTTCTCCCTCTGGGCAAGACTAAACAGGAGTCTCACCTACAGAGGTCCTCCATGCCTTCACTGAATCTTGAGCCCTCCCTTCCTCCAGAGACTCTTTTCTATATTCTTCTGAGGCAGGACTTTTAATACCCTGAGGAAAGGCCTATACTGACAGCCAGTGGGAGTAAACCCCAAGTTCCTGATGGCACAGTAGGTCAAAATCCTGACCTAAATCTGTTCTGATGTCCCTCAACTCCTGTGTGGCTAGTGTAGGCAAGGGAACAGGTAAGCTGGTCCTGTTCCTTCAGTCTCTGTGGGAGCTGTAAGGAAGTTTTCTGCTCCTGTTCTGAGATAAGAGTACTATAGTAGCTCATCTCCCAACACTACACTAACCTCTGACTCCTGTTTCTAGAAGCACCCTATATACCCAGCCTCTTCATGGGCCTGGTGATGAGGGAAGCATGTATAAATTAGCAAATTGTTTATCCCAGGAAGACAAAGAGTGCTTGGCAATCACAGCCCATCCTCCCAGCTGGTGAGGAGAGGAGCTGTGAGGAAAGGGCCACATGCTATCTCTGACAGGGGATTACAGGAAGGAGAAACAAGGCCCCTAGTCTCATACCAGCAGCCTGGTATAAGCCAGGGAACAACTGTGAGCCATTCTAGGGTCTAGGAACAGTCTATTCCCCAGCTTAGCCACTATGGTAGATGCGTAGACACTGCACGATGTTCTGGCGACACAGTGGGCAGGTTCGAAGGGGTTGGCAACAGGACTGACAGCAGCAGACATGACCACAGTTGAGGAAAATCATCTGGGCCTAAAAGTTAGAGAAATGGATAGAATGGGCATCCTCCTAGGCTAAAAGCCATTCCCAGATTCCCCAACGCAAAAAGACAGTTTCTTACAAGAACAAAGCTATGAGCACAATCTAGGCGAGTGCTGATTGCCAATAAAGGGGGAGTGAGTGAAGTGATCGATGTGTGCTTGGGCTCCTTGCCCCAGCTCCCACCCCAGCGCACACCAGGAAGGCCTCACCTCCCGCTCCAGACACACTACACATTCTGACGCCTGCACATCTGCCTGTGCTGGGGGCGCTGTAGGAGTCACGGCCTCAGGAAACTCTTCTGCAGAGGCAGGTTCCAGGGCCTCCAGGCCCTCACCTTCAACAGCCTTCAGCAACCCTGCACAGCACCAGAAGAGACAGGGTGAGTGTCCACTGCCAAACAGGCCCAATGATCACAATTCACAGAGTGCTTTCACATCTATTATCTCACTGAATCCTAACAATTTTGAAGGACTCCCGGGTTGGTGATCTCTGCTGTATGCCTTTTTTCTGAGGGACATGAGCTCTTAGTTGAAGACTACTGTGTAGTGTGGGAGTGATGTCAAGGGACCCAAGACCTAGATTCTGGTCACAGCCCTTCCAAAGAAGTTTCAGGGGGCAGTTAGGTGGTGCAGTGGATAGAGCAGTGGCTCTGGAGTCAGGAGGACCTGAATTTAAATCTGGCCTCAGACACCTGACATTTAACTAGCTGTGTGGCCCTGGGCAAGTCACTGCCTCACCAAAAAAAAAGTTTCAGACCTTACTCATTCTACAACTCAAGTTTCCCACTCTGTAAAAGGGGGATAAAAATCATTATTCATTCACCAAACAACAGTCAAGAGTCTGAAGGACAAGAGCAGTAAGGCTCTGTAATATCAGGTGCCTTCAATTGAGAAGTTGTGATGCAACATGCTTATTTTCAGATTTCCTGGTCGTCGGTACCTGGCAGTGTTTTCGCCCCATCCAGCAGTTCTTGGGCTCTCCTGATCAGTGCATGCTGCAGACCAGTTTCAGAAATGCCCATCTGAAGCACAAGCAGTCAAAGAATTTCAGGTTTCAGTGGGATCTTGGAGATTACCTAGTCCCTCATTTGATAGCTGGGTATATGCCCGGGAGCTGGAAAGCTCCTCCCAGGGAACACCATAGCACTGCAGAAGAATGCCCCTTCATGGAGAAGAGTCTTTGGTCTAAGCTCTTTGGTCTAAGCTCTGACCCCAGAAAACACCCTGGCTCCCAGTTCTGGCTTTCTGCAATGTTTTTACCCAAAGCACGGAGAGGATAAAGGAAGCAGAACCAAAAAGGCCAAGCCAACACACTAAAAAGCGACCCCTGCAGGCTAGACCTAGCCACTGCATCATGGCAGCTTTTGAAACACAGCGGTTCATGTGGCAATGTGCAAACAACATACGGCTTTTAAATGAAACTGGACCTACGAAGAATCAGACTGTGTCCTGAAAAAGACTGAACGCTAGAGATTTCTGGTGAGATATGGAGGTTATATGTGTAAATAGTCGGGAGAAGGAGACCTGATCTGGGTGAATGATAAAGGGAGCTGATACAGATTTGCTTGGTCCTGATAGAATTTTAGTAGCTGTAATTTTCTGGAGATAGCATGTAATCTACCAGGCTGGTTTAAGGTATATCCCATGGGCCATGGGGAACCCAATGGGCACCTTATTCAGGTAAACAGCCTGTACAACCATAAGATGCTTGTTTGGTGAAAAGCCTTGTTAAGAATTTTTGAAGAAGGTGAAAAAGGGCAGGGTCAGAATGATCCTTCTGCCTCCCCCCACTC